ATTGAATTGTGCCCAGTGAGCCTCTCACCGGGCCCCCTACTGACCCCAAACCCTCGGGCAATGCCGTAGTCCATACTGAAGGTGTAACATGTAACATAATACCAAGCGCCCCCACCCACACACACCTCCCATGACAGTGTGCTAGGATTATCTCCACCCACACAGCCACATCGCTCATTGTTGTTCTTGTAGTGACTTGCAGTTCACCACACTCGTAGTACTTTGAAACCGCCTCCCAGATTTCCAACTAAAGGCAGTACCTCAGTATGGGCAGGGTGCTGGAAGAATAGTCTACAGGAGCCTGGGATTTCATCTATGAACTGCTGATCGCAGGTGCCATGCTTTGCAGGCTGCAGTGAGAAAAATAGTAAATGCACACTTTGTCCTGCAAAAAAAAAAATATGTGCATTTAAATTTTTTTTAAAGATGGGTTTTAATCAAAAATCAAATTAATTTCCTGACTTTTGCACAGCTTCAGAGTTTTCTGGGTTGCATTAACGGTTTCTCTGGATCTCTTTTATATTAACATTACCTTTACTTTTACAGCTTGTCTGCAAACAACGTGGATGTTGCTGGATTCCTTATAATGAAAGATCTGCACCTTGGTGTTTCTTTACCCAGCAACATGGTTATGAAGTTGTTGGAGGAAACAAACCCAATGCAAAAGGTAGAGAGAATAAAAGTACATTGATTAAATATCCATTCAGCAAAATGCCAAAATTTGTTGGTGGTTCTTTCTACATGTATTTCTTTCAAAAATCAGAAAGCAGACACTTGGGCCCTATGCACTGACTGCTTACAAAATATAGCAGATCTAGATGTAGATTTTTATAGAAAATGAATAGGCATTGATTTTGTTTTATCCTTAACAATTTTAGTGTATGAAAAAAGTTATTTATGCTTATTTCATATAGTGTTGGGTTTCCTCATTTTCCAGTAGAGGTGGCTTGGGCTTGGCACAGATTTTCGACAGCCTTTATTTTTAGTCTTTTTAGACACTAAAGGTAAACTGCATTGTGTGAACAGCATTTTCTTCGTGTGCTTAGTAGTGTTACTCAGGGCAGAGATGAGTTTACTTTCATTTCATAATTTATTTAAATAAATGTGAAGAACATCAGTGTTAAAAAAAATAGAGGAAGCAGACATTTGCTTAAAGTGTCACTAAACCCACGACCCTTCATTCGCTATATCTGGTCAAACACAGTACACATAACATGGAAATGCAATTATATTAGTAAATATAAACTGCTAAATACCTTTTCTATCAGCGTCTGGTCAAGCACTGGTTAAAGATTGTAGGATGAGTTTTCATTCTCCCTGATTGTCCTATAAGGCTGCATGACCCATGATCCTCTGTCTGGACAGTGCTGATTGGCCCTGTGCCAATCACATGTACACACCCCCCCTCCCAAAAAAAAAAAAACCTCTAGCAATATACACCAAAATGAGAATGTGCAGAGTGTCCCTTAGTGCTCTGTACTATCAGCAGATGTATTGGGGACTGTGGAAGAAAGAGAGGATCAGGGAAGACAGGATTGAACAGCCTTTTTACATGAGGAGGGCTAACCCCTTATGTTCCACAGTGAGTATAACAAGCATATTTATTGCATATACAGACTGATTTTACTGTTGTGGGTATAGTAACACGTTAAGTTATCATAGCTAATGCAATTTCACTTCATCCCTCAGCTTCACTCCTTATGCATGTATTGCAATGCATATTAATGAATGTTGGACACAATTTGTGACAATACATTTTGGATGCCATTCATGTCAATGCATGTTAGACACGTGTGCACCTGAACATCAATGCAACACAACACATGCAACAGAAAACACATGCGCTGCATGATCTTGTTTTTTTTTTTTTAACTCATTGGTAATAGTTCATCCCTGATCTGCTCTGTCAGCTTTCAGACAGCTGACAGGCAAACATAGTAATGTGGACAGTGGTTAAAAAAATAGCTTGAGGGTTCCTCCAAAATCCATACCCTTGGGTCTTGTTTTCATTTTAATGGCAAAAAATGTCATAATGCCCCCCCTCCAAATTCCATACCAGACCCTCCCTCCTGAACCATACCAGGTCCCATGCTCTCAACATGTGCAGGTACCTTGGCAAGGGGGACCCCCCTGGCAAAGCACCTGGTTTCCATGTTGATGAGGAAGGACAACGTGCTCTTCCTCACAACAATGGACTAGTACTTGTGGTACTTATGGGAGGCTTACTAGACCTTTTCACAATAAGGGGCCCCCAGATACAGCCCCCCCTCCTTGTGAATTATTAAAGTGGAACTTTACTCACATAAAATCCAGCCATGTGCTGTCCCTGGAACTCCTTGACAGCCGCTGACATCTTTGGGCGGCTGGCTTCTGGGTCCCAATCAAAGGCAGCTGCTAGTTGATGGGTGGAGCTGAGCTGCGCTTGCCCAACATACTGTACAGGGGTGGACAGGCATGTGCGGCGCTTTAATGCAGAAGAGACAAGGCATGTCTCTCCTGCATTAAAAATTCTGCCTTTACATCATTTTTTAAATCCCAGCCTAAGGGGTACATAGTACATTTTACCTCTCAGCTTCAGATCTGGTCACACTGACTACTTATGTCTCCCAGCACCAAAGAGAGAGCCCATCTTGGTAACAATTTTATATCTCCTTCTCCTTTTTGTACTGTGGCTAATATAATACTCCCTAACTGGTCACTGTACCTAGCAAATGTATATTGGGAGCAGCCTGATTGGAGGGTTCAAATAAGGCTTCTCCTTGTCAAGACACATCTGATCTTGTGTTGCTAATGACATCTCTGGGTCCCTGCCACTAAAGTAAATAAAGGGGCAGGGCCACCCAGGTGACATCCATTCATCATCACATTTGGCCAATGACATTGTGGGATTATTTATTATGTTTTTTTAAATAAAGGACTTGTGAAACATTGACATGTTTTTGTTTCTAGGGTACTTTTTTTGTAAATAAATAGGGGTACTGTGTACCTATACTCATTCACATGGGGTGCCAGTTTCTAGAAGCCCTCCAGATTCTGATAAGCCTCCTGCCCGCATACCCCCACAATCACTGGGCCAGAATTTTGGGGAATAAGCTCTTGTTCTCCTTAACATGGGCACATGGTGCTTTGCCAGGAGCGTACCTCCTGACAGCTGAATGAGCAGAGCAGGGATGAGCCACTGATTGTTAGGACGTAAGTGGGTACCAGCTCCCTGGCAAACAGAATCCCTGAGTTGTAACTGTCACATTTATGGTGAGAATACCGTGCTAAATGTTTTACGTCCCACTGCAGCCAGATGTCTGGACTTTGGTAAAATGAGACGTAAAAAATGCATTAAATACCACTAAATTAAAGAAAAAAATTAAACGTGATAATTAATGCATTTTTTAACGAATTGCCTGTTTTTGATATATAACTACATGAGTTGTTAAAAAATAAAAAAATAATGTGCTATTTATCTTTAGTGAATTGACCCAACAGACAGCAATAAAACCTGACTAAGTTTCTAACCCTTTTTTAAACAATTACCGGTATTCTAAAGTGCTCATAATGGAAGTATAGAACTTTTTTCTACTACTATTCTTTATTTTGACAATATAACAAGAGCTATAAACATATCACAATCTCAATACAACATTTAGAATGCGCAATGCAAATAAAATATAAAAAGTATGTTTGCTTAAATTTTATAAGATCGAGAGAGTTCCATGAAGACAAACCAGTAGGAACCTGAACCAAAAAAATATCATGAAGTATTATATGGGTTTGTTCTGGGGTTGTGGGTTGCTTTCCCCAAGTGCCAAGTGATGGGAATAGGTTAAAAATGACAGGCTGAAAATGCACAATCATTGAGGTGGAACAAAACACTGTAGAATAAACTCCAGGTATATAAGAAATGCAACTAGTTTCTTCAATATAATGTATCCGGAGAATAGAACTTTTAAGTTTTTTGCATTAGCTAATGTAATTTTAAAAAAAATGTTTGTATAAATATCTAATAACTTTTGTATGATTTGTCCACAGGATTTGATGCTCATCTTAAAAGACTGGCCTCCCCTACTGTTTTTGGGACAGAAATAGAGGACTTGCATCTCACTGCAGAAATACAGAGCAAGAATCGGTTCAGATTTAAGGTTTGTATGTTCAATTGTTACTACATGTCAAATGAAATAGGGGTTGGTCAGATATTCCAAAACTGATTTGACAAAAGATCTTGGAACCACTCCTTCTTTTATAATGGACAAGGTCAGGAGTAAAAAGTGCACTCTATAAATGGTGTTATCTTTACTGTATCAAATTTGGCATAATCCGTTCTACTAATTTTGTCCTATACATCCATTATGGTTTTTTACAAACTGGTTGTCACTATTATATTCATTTTCATTAGTGATGCATTGGTTTTTTTTTTTTTGTTAACTATATTGTGTAGCATCATTGGTCTTATGCTGCAGCCATCCCTTGTCGGCTCTAAGCCCAAGAACTGAACGATCGTATGACCACTGACCATTCATTTCTATGTCGTCTTGGAGTGCTGGGCTGGAGAGATCGTGGATGCGTCTGGCTTTGACTCTCAGCCACACACTGAGAGCCAGAGCCAGCTGTCAATCTGGCAACTGGGTGGATCCAGACAATATGGTTAGGCTATATGTTGTGGCTCTGTGACAATAGCTGACAGCACGCTTTAGCCTGCTGTTAGCTGACTCTTGGTGACAGGAGAGCATATGTAAATGCACGTCTGTGACCCAGAAGAGAAGTATTGCCAAAAAAGCTCTTTTAATGAAGTCCAGGGGCGGACTGACCTTTCGAGCACTCGGGCGCTGCTGAGGGCCCGGAGTCAGTAGGGGGCCCCATGAAATGCCACTGGTACCTTTTATAGGCTTTTTTAGGTGTGCTTTGAGTGTGGACAAGGACACAGGGGCCCCATGATCCCCTATTGCCCGGGGGCCCCATGAGTTGTCAGTCCGTCCCTGATGAAGACCCATTCATCAGCTTATTCTTACCTGCCTTTTGCTGTCCTATTAGCTCAGTTTCGCTGTTGGGAGCAAATGAAAATACCCTATACTTCCAGGTATGGCCAAGCACAGGACACTATAAGACGTCTGTTTGTTTCTTTTATTGGCCAAAAGTACAATTATTGGGCTGTATTGCTTTAGAAGTAAAAAGAGCTATACATATATTATAATCTCCTTAAAATGTCTCTAATCTGGGAAATCACAGAGGTAAAATTGTTAGCTGCTAATTAGTAATCCAGCAATGCTTATTCCAATGCTCTTAATCAGCCTTCAACATACAAAACAAAGCCACAATAATAAACAAAACAGTACCTCAAAAGTCTCCTGTCCAGTGTACTGTCTCCCTGTAACTCCACTAAGTCTTACAGATCCAACCATGACAGTGCATTTACCAGTGCACTAACTACTGCTGGGTTTTAGCATCTCCGTTTCCTCTGCTCACCAAGCACCCCTGGACTATTTCACATTCAGCATAGATTGGGAGTCATAGGTTTATTCTCCTCTCAGCTCCACTTTTGCTCTGGTCTGCAAATCGCACCTGCAGTTTAATAGACTTTCCACTTTTAATTTACTGGAATAAAAGGAAAAGAAAATGTCTCCTTGAATAGTATGACACAGATGTTACATTTATTAAAAGTCTATCATACTCACAAGGAAATTAATACTATCAGCAAGTCAAATATGGTTCCCCAACAGAACCTTCCTGCTAGAGAGTGGCACTGATTCACAATATCCCAGGGCTGCCAATCTCTACAGCAGTAGTGCTCTGCTCTCTCTCTCTCTCGCTAACCCAGTGCATTTTGAAGGTCTGTTTTCTTCCTCATTGTAGTAGTAAACCTCAACTTCCTTTTAACTACTTCCTTCATTATTCCCATAGTGCCCAATAACCCTAATGGTACACAACATAAGTATCACTTCCATAGTAAATGCATATTAAAAAGAGTGTTAAAAAAATAAATAAATACAATGATAAACACCAATTATTACTAATCTAAATTAACCCTTAGGAGTACATACAAAATCAAACAAAAAATAAAACATATTATAAACAAAGTGCACTAAAATCAAACAAATAAAATCATAGGTAACAATTAAAGGAGATCTTTTGGCTGTACTTCTAGGGATCACAGGAGTTCAGTTTGTTCTGCACTCCCGTGGTCCATTTTCAGCTGACAGTCACTGCTCTCTGCTCACAGCGGCGGTGAGAACTCGCCGATCAGCGACCATGTGATCGCTGAGTTTTCACACTTAGAGCCAGTAGGGAACAGATGCAGTATTAGATCGATGCTGTATCCACCTAAGTAAGTATAATTTGGGAAAAAAATCCCATACTTCTCTTTTAATATTAAAATTAAGCCCCTTGGGGTGTAAAAATTGTAGTATATATCCAATCACTCCCTTTCCGATTAAGGGGGTTATTTATATTGCCTCTTTCCAATTTACCTGGACTTTCTGAATAACTACAACCTAAAACTCTTAGGATCATTGTTGTAACGCTTTCTAAATACTTCAGTACACTATGAACGATCTTGCCATTTTTAATATTAAACGCGTGTTTTTCTTTATGCTTTATCAGATGCATCTAATGTACTGCAGTCTGCAAATACATTTTTTCAATTGCACAGTAAACTGCTTAATATTAAAATGTGCTCCAGTAGTAGATTTAAAAGTGTCAATATTTTTCCTGCTATTAGTGGTATTTCTTTAAGCTTAGAAACCCCACATCTCCTAAACGTTTTATGTCCCATGAAAAAAGGCTAAGAATGCTTTCAGAAATAGAAGTGTTCATAGTTTATTTTTTATCAATTAGCAAAATGGAAATTAAATGAACAGATGAGAAATCCAAATCAAAACAATATTTGGTGTGACCACCCTTTGCTTTCAAAAGAGGATCAATTCTTCTAGGTACAGTTGCACACATTTTTTGAAGGAACTCAGCAGGTAGGTTGTTCCAAACATCTTGGAGAACTAACAACAGATCTTCCGTGGATTTAGGCTGCCTCATATTCTTCTGTCTCTTCATACAGTATAATCCCAGACAGACTTGATGATGTTGAGGTCTGTGTGGGCCAAAGAATTACTTTCAGGACTCTTCTTCACGAAGAAGATAGTTCTTAATGACATTGGTTGTATGTTTGGGGTCATTGTTCTGCTGCAGAATAAATTGTCTGGGTTGGATTTTATTTATTTTTTTTTTTTTTGTTTAATGTGCAGGAAACTACCTTAAATGCATACCACCCTCTAGGATAAAAGTCTCATATGGAACCCAAGTGTGTTTTGGTTATTATGGTGCACCATAACAAATAACAGCCACATAGCTGTTGGCATCCTAGCAACCAAAGATGCTTGCAGCCTGCACAGCAGGAAGTTGTCATTTACAGGTGTTCTGGTATTTAACTGCTATACGTCCAGTTGCAGCTAGAGGTTTTGGTGAATGAACACCCTATTTAGTTTGTGGAATAGTCAGCTTGCAAAATTTACATAAACTCTGGACAGGCACGGATGTAAACCCCATCCTTGTCACTAGTGCCCCTGGTTGAGCCTACACGTGGCCATGCTAGCAACATTGCATGGTTCACCTGTCATCTTCAGCATGCTGACCCAGATCAAAGATGTTCTGCCAGTACTGTAGAACAGGGATGTCAGACTCAATTTCATTACGGGCCATATAAGCATTATAGTTGCCCTCAAAGGTTATATCTGCCAGCTGATGGGAAGAAGCTGGAGGTGGAGCGGGGAAGTTGAAAGTGCAGGGTCTGAAGGAGGACCAGAAAAAGGATGCAGTCAGCTGCTGGAGTCTGCTGAATGATGAGACCAGGGGAGGAAGAGACAAGAGGGGAACTGTATCTGCACAGAGAAGGGCAGAATCTGTAGGAGGAGTTCTGTCCTCTTTGCTGCTGACTGTTGAGACTAGGTGGGGGTGAATATGAGGGGGGTGTTGCATCTGCAAAAGAAGTGTGAGGACTACGTGAAATGGCCTGGAGGGCCAGATTCGGCCTGCTGGCCTTGTATTTGACACATGTGCTGTAGAAGGTGCATGCAGACAGAGGATGCAAAAGACTTGGGGAAATGAGAAGCAGTGAACTGCAAATATTATTAAAAAGGTGAAAATAGTACTCAATGGGAAAACATGACAATTGTTTGATACTCTGCGCTTAGTAAACAAAATGCCGCTAAGTTAGGGTTTAAATCTACTTTACTCAGTATAAATAGGTTCAGACCTTGAACCTTTCTTTCATGCTGTAGAACACCTTGCTTATGACCATATTATGGGTAGATAAGGTAGGAATTGAACTTTACTTCTTAACCTCATGGAACTTTTCTTTTAAGATAAAGGAATATTTTAATAATTACCTTTTAATTTCTACATAATAAAGATAACCTTTTTATCTATGTTGAGTTGGTATGGCTGTCTTATGTTTGTGTGTAATTCCTTTATATGGTCTTGTCCTATTCTGTAGTGAAATAACAGACTTTTACCTTAATTAAATATCTGTTCTTAAAATGAATAAACATGTAAAACTTTTTTTGTAGATCACAGATTCCAAGAATAAGAGATTTGAAGTTCCTCATGAACACGTTAAAGAATTTACTGGGTCAGCGGAACCAAACCCAAATTATAATGTTGAATTGGTTGAGAAGCCCTTTGGAATCAAAGTCCATAGAAAAACACCAGATGCCAGAGTCCTGTAAGAAAGACTTCTTATAACTCAATTTATGAATACATAGTAATAGATTTGTTTTTTTTTTTCATTTGCCAAGGGTAGGTTACATTTTTATTTAATCCACAGTCAAAATGTGAGTTAGTGCACCGCCAAACATGGTGGCTCCAATTCCTAAATAACCCATCAAAAGGAAATGGGAATTTTGAAGACAGAGCTGGTCTATTGCTTTTGGCTTGAAGCAGAACATTAAGTATAAAATGCAGTAGTATTGCTGGGGCAGGTCTCCAATTGGTGGATCCTATTGATTGACTGTGGAATTTCAGAAGACAAAAGAGGAAACATAATAGGGTAATTCAATTGATTTTATAAGTATATGAAAGTGTAATCAGCACTTTATGATTTCCAGAAACAATCCAACAAGAGACAGGTAATAAGACACTTCCTCCTATGTACTGTATGTGAGCTGATATCATTACATGTTTGCTATATTCTTTACAATATGCTAATCAATAATTACTCTCAGTTCGAAGGGTGATTTTTTTTTTTTTGTAGAAACGTTTAGGAGTATTTCTGATTCAAACTAAAAAGCATTTTTTCACAGTACTATATTAAAGCTGAATCCAAGGCAAAATAAACCACACGTTTTAATGCAGTTTTATGTTTATTAATACATCATAAAGGCCTGATTCACACCAATGCGTTTTCAGATGCAACTTGAGTCGCACTGAATAGGATAACATTGGAAATAATATTGCTTCTAATGGTGCCCATACATCAATGCAGCGCAGCTGCGATGAAACTTTGGGGAAGGATCCTGTTACTTTGATGCAGTGCATTTTGTGGTCCATAGACTTCAGTGGAAACTACATGCTTGTATAAGTTTCTGGCATGAAATTTTGGGACAATGAACCAGCAAACACAAATGCTCCTGCGCTTGGGGATGGACTCGATGCAGGCTACAACCACATAAAGAATGTCCTGGAACATGCACACCTTGCTGCCCTCAAATAGGCCGGGGGAATCCAAATATACTGAATGAGGAAAGAACAAACAGAGGGCGCACAGGCCTAGTGCATTACCATAAAAAATGTTTAATAAGAAATAAAGTAGGTGTTGTACTCACAAACGACAATATAGTCAAGGCACGTCATAAAGAACAGCTGGGTCAACACCGCGCTGAGTAACAGTCCGCAGTAGGGAGTGTAGACATCCAATAGACTGACGCGTTTTGAGGACTTGCCTCTTCCTCAGAGCCCATCATTTTATGACGTGCCTTGACTTTATTGTCGTTTGTGAGTACAACACCTACTTTATAACTTATTAAACATTTTTTTATGGTAATGCACTAGGCCTGTGCGCCCTCTGTTTGTTCTTTAGTCATGAAATTTGGGGAGACCCATGC